TCACTTTCTCTTCTCTCTCTCTCTCTCTCTCTCTCTTTTCTCTCTCTCTCTCTCTCTCTCTCTCTCTCTCTCTCGCTCTCTCGCTCTCTCCCTCTCTCTCTTATCTCTATCTATCTATCCATCTATATATCTGTCTCTCTCTCACTCACTCTCTCGATCTCTCCTCTCTATCTGTCTATCTACATCTTTCTATCTCTCTCTTTCTCTCCCTCTCTATCTCTATCTATCGACATCTCTCTATCTCTATGATATATATCTATCTATCTCTTCTAGTTATTTCTCTCTCTCGCTCTCCGCGCTTGAGAGTGGTTGATATATAGATTTTGTCATTGCCAACTTCCATTCCATTAAAATTTAATGGGTGGAAATTCATTTAATAGGAAATGCGATGTAGCCTTTTGACATTCTAGCGCCATCTAGTGTGAATAATAATAGAAAATAATTATTGTAGCGGCAGCCTGATTTGTGCGCCCACCCGGGTCATGAAAGGCGGCGAGATAAGCCTCGTTCACACGAGACCTCGTATTTCTGAAATACCGGATTTGCGAAATACCGTATCTGAGACAAATACGCGGCCGAGCGTTCACACGCTGATTCGCGGCTCCAGAAATACGGTATTTGCGAGCTGCGAGCTGCTTAAGTAACAATCAAGCGAACAATGCGAAATAAACAATGCAATGCGCACCAACTGCCGATATATATATACATAGATTAGTCCGCGCTCGACAGTTCCACTCGCGTTACACTGGAACTATCGAGCGCGGACCAGTCTATAAAATACGCGGCTTCAGCAATACGGTATTTAGCGTTCACACGAGGAAATGCGCGGTCCAAGAGATCCGGTATTTCTCAAGCACGGCAAATTATTCGTGGTCTGGGAAGCCACGTATTTCAACCAATACCGGATCTGTTTAGATACCGTATTTCTTGGACCGCGCATTTTGCCTCGTGTGAATGCTAAATACCGAATTTCTTGCTACATGTAAACGCGAGTTATGTCTCCATATACGATATACGCGGCACGACACGACACAGCCAAAACAGAGCGTCGTTGCGCTGAAAAAAAAACACATTGTGATTTCGTGCATTGTGTCTGAGCGCATTGTGTTCACTCTGGTTCAGTGTTCAGAAATTATGCGTGTGCTCGTTGTCCATTGGCTGATGGTGGCGCGAGCAGAACACGTGATAAAAAACAATCGCGTTGATTGGTTCAACTGTCTTTCTCCGTACACGGCAGCCGGCAAACGTCAAACACGTTTGACTTTCGCCGTCGCCGTGAAACCCGGCCGTGCCGCTGTTGTCATTGTTGCTGCTGTTGTCATTGTTGTCGATATGCCTCCTCAGCACGACGAAATATTCCGAGAATGAAAATGGGAATATTTTTGGAGAGACGTCAAAATATTTTGTTTAGCTTGTAGGCGGCGGCGGTTCACTGCAGGCTGATAATGCCCAACCCTGCATGTTATACTATGTGTCAGTCTGTATATATATATACAGCCCCCTACACACGCCCCCTACACACGCGCGAGATGACTGACTGCTCTCTTGTTTTGTGCGCAGGCAACGTGCCGCCGGCTGTGAGGAAAGCCGTCGCGGAGGCGTTCGTTAAGATGGGCGGGTACAAGATGGAGCAGGCGGAACAGATGATCACCGACATGCAGATCGAAGGCCGCTACAACGTAGAGGCGTGGTAGTCGCCTTTGGGGGGCGCCACCGTCACCGTTGTCGTCGTCGTCGTTTAAACCCCTCCTCCTGCTCTGCTGCTCTCTGTAGGCGTGTGTTATGTAGATATGGCGTGCGCGCGTGCCGGTAGGGGGCGCCACACCGGGCTGGCTGCGTGCGCGCGCCGGTAGAGGGCGCCACGGCGGGCTGGCTGCGTGCGCGTGCCAGTAGGGGGCGCCACGCCGGGCTGCCCGCGTGACGACGACGACGGCGGGATTGTGGTTATTATCATTATTATTAACTGTAAATTTAAGCGAGCGAGCGCGCGCGCGAGAGGGAGCGAGAGCGCGCGCGCGAGAGGGGGAGAGAGAGAGAGAGATAGAGGGGGAGAGAGAGAGAGCGCCGAGAGATAGAGTAGAAGAGAGCAGACGAGAAGGGAGAGAGAGAGAGAGAGACGAGAGAGAGAGAGATGCGCCGAGGAGGAGAGGAAAGAGAGAGAGCGAGAGGGAGGGAGAGCGGGAAACGAGTGTCACTATTGACGGAGATCGCATTGTTGTAGTTAGACACGCGTTTTTCTTTCTCCCGCGACGCAGTCTACAGCGAGACTGACCGCCGCTGCCGACAGACAGAACAAGCGAACGGCGCACGGCTCCTAGAGGGCGCCGGGGTGTTCATGTTGGTTTCGGTGGATATCATTGTGTCGTCGCTATAACCTTTTCCTCGCCCTACCTGCGCGCAGTCGCGCTAGCTCAACAATCAATAAACGTTTATAATCAATTTTATAGCCACGTGAGCGGGCGCCGCGCGCGCAATGCGGACGAGCGCGACCAAAAGCAACCACGCCAGTCGACAC